ATCTCTGTGATTTGCTGAAAACTATACTTCTGTTCTCCTTTATTTTTCACTTTATATTGTTTTATAAACATGTATGTTGCTGGGGTTCATTTGTATTGCATGATAATATTCCTCTGCCCTCTTTGCCGTTGGTGTGACTGGATTTTTACTTGCTGGAAGTATTTAAATCATGTCACATCAGTCCTACTACTTCTCTACAGTCTTCTGAAGTGGACATTTTTTGACAGTTACAGAACGGGTACCATCTTAATGCAGTGAACATCAGTTCTTCACATATCCGCTGTCCAGTCCATGTACAAATGTCTGTGCATAAATTTTTTAATAAATCATTTCACGTGTTTGAAATATTTCCAGATAATATCCCCACGTGACACGACATTTGATTTTATGTCTCCTGAGTCTCTTAGTCTCGAGCAATCTCCTTTTCCTTTTTTCCCATGCTGCTGACTTGGTGTGTCCTCCTGTGGAAAATCCTCATTCCGGATTTGTCTATTTCCCTCCTTAGAATGAAGGCTTGGTTAGATTCAGTTTCAACTCTTTGGGTAAAAATATTTCAGAAGCAGTGTGCTGGGTACTTCATGTGTGCCTGGTTCCACCTTTAGAAATGCGAAGGTTAGCCATTGAATTCCGCCGGGAGTTTGTAAGCCTCTCTGTTGGTCTCTTCATTGGTACTCTTTCCATCATCAGTTATCTATTGGGGCATTGCAATGTGGAGACTCTGGCTGTTTTCTCTATTTTTTTTAACTGGACTTCTTCTGCAGAGCAGGAGTAGAAGCATAAATATTTAATCATTCCTTTAAAATTTTAATTGTCAGAATCAGGAGTTGGTGTCTCAACTATTTTCAGCCATAATTCATGTCATGAGTTACAGATTTGATGAGAGTGGCTTTCTTTTACTTTTAAAATATCAGTTTGAACTCGGGTCTTTTTTTTTTTTTTTTTTTTTTTTTGGTTTGTTTTTAAAAAGATGTATTTATTTGAAAGACTGACAAAAGAGGGAGATGGAGGGAGGGAGGAAAAGAAAGCAGTAAGGAGGGAGGGAAGATGGTAAGGAGGGAAGAGAGAGAGAGAAGAGAAAAAGAGAGAGATCAGATCTTTCATCTGCTGGTTCATTCCGCAAATAACTACAAACAACAGCGAGGCGTGGGCCAGGAACTTCATCCCGGTCTCCCATGTTGGTGGGAGGGCCCTAGTATTTTAGCCATCATCTTCTGCTTTCCCAGACACATGAGCAGGGAGCTGGATCAGAGGCAGAGGAGCTGGCACTGGAATTGGCACTCTGATACGGGATGCTGGCATTGCAAGCTGCTGCTTAACCTGCTGTACCTCATGGGTCTTTAGAGAGGGACATGAGGGTATTGTAGAAATTCATGGATACTTGAAATTAAACGATAAATTTCTTTTAGTGTAATAAGTTTTTTAAAAATTTTATTTATTTGTTTGAGAGGTAGAATTACAGACAGAAGGAGAGATCATCCATCTGTTGGTTTCCTCCCCAAATGGCTGCCACTGCCTGAGCTGGGCTGATCCAAAGCCAGGAGCCAGCAGCCTCTCCTGGGTTCCCCTCGTGGGTACAGGGGCCCAAGCACTTGGGCCATCTTCCACTGCTTTCCCAGGCTACAGCAGAGAGCTGGATTGGAATAGGAGCAACCGGGACACAAACTGGCACCCATGTAGGGATGCCAGCACCACAGGCAGAGACTTAACCTACTACGCCACTGCGCCAACCCCAGTGCAGTAAATGTGTAAAATTCACACATAGCTTTTTTGTTTGTATACATTTTTATAAACTTTTTGAAAAGTCCTTGTATGCATGCATCTCAGGGCTTTTTGCATTTCCCACCAGCTGTTTGACGGTCCCATCCTATTCAGTACGTTGGGTCAGTCGGTTCTGTTGACAGTGGCAGCTGAGTCAGCGTCCTTGCTCTTTGGCAGAATAAGGTGTCGGAGGCTTCTGTTGCACATGCCCAGCCCTGAGCTGGGGTTCTCCTCTCCTCTCAGAGTCCTGCTTCCTTTCCGTGCTCACGCTCTTGGGCCGTCACTGCCCGTAGGCTTTATTTGGTGGGTTCTTTGTTTCAGGTTGCCTTCAGTTTCTTGGGATCGCATCTGTAATGTCTAACTTTTTTAAAATACAAAATATTTATTTTATTTTAAAGCTAAAGCTTTGTACCTGAATATATTGCGAGAATTTTCACCTTCCTTTCTAGGTAACCATGGCTTTCTCTTCCCTTACAGGAAGCAATTTTTTGTTAGGTTTTGGTTATTCTAATGTTTTGAATGAAGTATTTGTAGATATATAAAAGAAAATACATATGTAAAATTCATATTTCCTTCCAGTATTGCTCTGAACCTTCCTTTTTTTTAAAAAATATTTATTTATTTGAAAATCAGAGTTAAGAGAGAGAGAGAGGTTTTCCCTCCAGTGATTCGCTCCCCAATTGGCCGCAAAGGTCAGAGCTGCAGGAGCTTCCTCCAGCTCTCCCACGTGGGTGCAGGGTCCCAGAGACTTGGGCCATCTTCTGCTTTCCCAGGCCATAGCAGAGAGCTGGATGGGAAGTAGAACAGCCAGGACTCAAACCAGCACCCATATGGGATGCTGGCACTGCAGGCAGCAGCTTTACCCACTATGCCACAGCACTGGCCCCTACACCTTTCTTTTTTTTTTTTTTTTCTTTCTTTCTTTTTTTTTTTAAGATTTATTTATTTTACTAGAAAGTCAGAGTTACACAGAGGTGGAGAGGCAGAAGCAGAGAGAGGTGTTGTCCATGTGCTGGCTTATTCCCCAGTTGCCTGCAATGGTTGGACTGCGCTGATCAGGAGCCAGGAGCTTCTTCGGGTCTCCCACGTGGGTGCAGGGGCCCAAGGGCTTGGGCTTGGGCCATCTTCTACTGCTTTCCCAGGCCATAGCAGAAAGCTGGATCAGAAGTGGAGCAGCCAGGACTTGAACTGGCGCCCATATGGGATGCCGGCACTGCAGGCGGCGGCTTTACATGCTGCGCCACAGTGTTTGCCCCTGCACCTTCCTTTTTACATTTAATCTTGGAGGTCACTTAGTACGTAGATGTGGTGATTATCCTTTAGCCTTACTAAGATGCATGATATTTATTGCATGTACTTTCTTCTATTCAACCCGTCCCCTGTTGATGGATTTTTGTTTGTTTCTGGGCTTTTTCCATTGTAAATAATGCTTCAGTGAGTAGCTCTGTAGATAATTAATTTAGTGTTCTTGCCCTGTGTGTTTTGAGAAAGATTTTTAGATTTGGAATGGTTAGGTTAGGCATAAATGCATTTAGGATTTTTCTAGATTTGTCAGTTCCCTTTTATCTACCTGGTACCATTTTGTATATGTGTGTATATGTACGCGTATGATTGACTGATTTACTTGAAAGGCGGAGTTGCAGAGAGAGAGGTCTTTCATCTGCTGATTCTCTCCTTAAATGGCCGTAACCACCAGAGCTGCACCGATCCAAAGCCAGGAGTCCCACCTAGGTGCAGGGGCCCAAAGACTTAGGTCATCTTCCACTGCTTTCCCAGGCCACAGCTGAGAGCTGGATCAGAAGTGGAGCAGCCGGGACATGAACCGGTGCCCATATGAGGTGCTGGCACTGCAGGCAGTGGCTTTACCCACTACGCCACAGTGTCCGCCCCTGGTATCATTTTGTACCATTTGCTGCAGCGATGTGTGGGAGTGCATGTTGGCCTCCTGCCTTTCCACCAGAGTGTATTGTGAGATTTGGATTTTTTGCCAACAAAAGCTAAGAAAGTTTTAATTTGTGTTTTTCTTATGTTGAATTAGGTGAGCATATTTCCATATGCTGGCTCCATTTTCACTTCTTTTGTGACTATTCATGTATTTTCTCATATTTCTGTTTAGATGATTGCTTATTTTTTTCCTCAAAAAAAATTTTAGGAACTCATTATACTTTAGAGTTAATCAGGATGATAGACTATCAACTGCCATTTACTTAAATGATTAAGGAGTGTCTTAGTGATAAAAAGCAAATACAGAATGGAACAATAACTTAGGTCTTCAGTCTTGGTATTATTAATGTTGATCTACTTTTAGAAACTGTGCTCTTAGTATTACTGTTAAATTGTCCTTATGGGGCTGGTGTTGTGGTGTAGTGATTAAGCCACCACCTGCAACACTGACGTCCCGTATGAGTGCTGATTCGAGTTCCCAAGGCTCCTCTTCCAAATCAGCTCCCTGCTAATGGCCTGGGAGAAGCAGTGGAAGATGGCCCAAGTCCTTGGGCCCCTGCACCCATGTGGGAGATCTGAGGAAGCTCCTGGCTTTAATCTGGTTCAGCCCTGGTCATTGTAGCCACCTGGGGAGTGAACCAGTGAGTGGAAGATTAATCGATTAATATCTCCCTCCCTCCCCCCTCTCTCCTCCCCTCCTTACTTTCCTCCCTCCCTCCCTCTCTCTCTTTCCCTTCCTCCCCTCTCCCTCTGTAATTCTGATTTTCAAATAAATAAGTCTTAAAATTGTCCTTAAAAAGTTAATCGTATTTAGACATTACCATTTAGTTAATTTGAGGGCATTGGAAACAGGCAGAAAATCTTAGATAAATAAGCCTTTTAAATTCTGGTTTTCATACTGTTTAGTTTGAAAAGAAAGAATATTATACGCTTTAGATTTTTACATATGTCAGCAGGACCACTTGTGGAATTTCTGGTATGTGCTAAGTTTCGGGAGATGGTTGTGTCACTTGATTGTTCGTCAGTTCTGGGGTATCTGAAAGATGCCTGCCTGCCTGCCTGTTACTGTAGATGGTGAAGGTCGAGTCAGTGAGTTCATGGGCCAGGAGACTTAAAGGATAACTTGTAGGGTGGTACTTGGCAGTTTCCTTTTCACAGATTGCATTATTCATACATGAGTAGTTTTTCTTTTTCTTTTTTTTAAATAGTCATGTAATGAAATCCTCAATCAAATGTCTTTTCTGACAGTTATTTTTATGTGATTTCCAATTTAAAAATCAGATATTCTATTTTTCTAGAAGAACCTAACAAGACATGTGACAGCAGTAACACTAGTGCTACCACTACCTCCATCCAGCCTAATCTGGAAAACAGTAACAGCAGCAGTGAACTAAATTCTTCCCAGAGTGAATCTGCTCAGGCAGCTGATGATCCTGAAAATGGAGAAAGAGAATCCCATACACCTGTCTCTATTCAAGAAGAGATAGGTAAGAGTACACTTCATCCATTAAAGGGAGCTTTTTTTTTCTTTTTTTTTGAAAACAAGTTTTTCATTTTTTGGAGAAAAGTTTGGTGGGGGTGGGAAGATTTTCTTTTTCCATTTTTTTTCTTTTTCTTAAAACACAAGAGATTCTTGTACTTCATTTTTGTTTTGACATATACAAAAGCAACCAGAGGGGGGAAAAATAGAAGACTATTTTCGAACCACTTCCCCAAAGGTAACTACCATCAACAGTTTGGTGTGTGACATCTAGATTTTACTCCTTGCAGTTACACTCCTGTATGTGGATTCGCAGGTTTACAAAGTTGTTCTGGTTTTGATTTTTTTTAATATAAATGGGATCATTCTGCATGTGTTGTTTTGCACCTTGCTATTTTCACTCAGTTTACCCCTAGGGAACCTTTTCTTGTTATACATTGAATTTATTCTTTTAAACTGCTGCATGCATTCCACAGTATGGATAAGCAGAATTCATTTACTGTTTCTCTCTGTTAATGGACATTTAGGCTGTTTTTTCATTACTACAAATAGTGGTGCTCTTTAAAATCCAAGTGCTTCTGTCAGTGTCAGTAGAATTGCTGGTGAAATGGTAGGTACATTTGAAAAACAGGGATGACTGCTGCTTAATTGCACATCAAAAGGAATGTATACCAATAATTTATGTGCATACCTATTTCATATTCTCTCACTTAAATTCAGTATTATTAATCCTTTTATATTTTTGCCAGTAAAGAAAAATATTTCATTAAAAAATGTGCATATTCCTGTTCACTAATGGGGTTGTTTGTTGTGTTTGTTACACATTCTGTGAATCAATTATTCATATCCTCTCATTTTCCAGTATTGAAGTTTGATGTTTTTCCTTAATTTTCAGAATGCTTTATGTATTATGGTTATTAATCTTTGATTTTGCATATATATCTATATTGTAATTATTTGGTTTTGACTTGTCATACAGAAATCTTTCCATTTTTATATAGTTAAATTTACCAGTTCTCTTCTTTAGGTTTCCCATGGGTTTTATGTTTTGCTAAGGGATACCACACCTATCCCATGAATGGACATACATATTACAGGAATTTCTCATAACTTCTGTAACTTCATCTTTACTCATTCTGGAGTATAATCTTGTGTATGGCATAATGTGGAAATCAACTAAATTAGGGCTTTTTCAATTGCAAGTGATGCTAATGGCAAATGACCAAACTAGCTTAAAGTAGTTTAGGAGAAGAGGGAATTTAATTAGCTCATATAACTAGGAAGTTCAGGCCATCAGGAGGCATAACTGGACCCTCAGGTATCAAAATTCTTTGTCTTCCTCTTTGTCTCCCTCCGTTTTTGGATCTACATATGTTTGTGTGTTAACTTCACTCCCTCCTAATACAGACAGGCTTTTTCCAAGTGGCAGGGAAGATGGCACCAACAGTTGTGTTCTTATCTTTGCAAGTTCTGTGATCCAAAGACAGGCACCACCTTTTCCAATTCAAAAGTCCTTAAGGAAAGAATTTGAGTGGCCCATCTTGGATCATAATGTTCCCACCACTGTGGCCAGGGCAGGCGAGGTGTTATGGTCGATGGCTCCAGCAAAAGTATGGGATTAGAGTTGGATAGGAATGATTTTCCAAAGAAAGGTGCTAAAAAATTAGACTGCAGTAAACATCCACAATGTCATCCTCTGGGAGCTTGGTACATACCTGTTTATTCATTTGCTCCATATATAACAACTTAGAAATGCCTCTGCTGTCAGCACAGAAACTACCCACAGCTGAAGGCTTCTGAAAACTTCTCTCCCATAATTATGTCTAGAAATTGTATCTAGAAATTGGTGTGTGTTAATTTTGACAGGTCTGGATATAGCTTATCTTGATCTCATAATCCACGAGCCAGATTTTTATTATTATTTTTACTTTATTTATTTGAGAGAGTTACAGACAGTGAGGAGTGACAGAGGTCTTTCATCTGCCAGTTCATGCCCCAAATAGCCGCAACTGCTGGAGCTGGGCCAATCCGAAGCCAGGAGCCAGAGACTTCTTCCAGGTCTCCCACTGGGTGCAGGGGCCCAAGCACTTGGGCCATCTTCCACTGCTTTCCCAGGCCATCACCAGATGGCTAGATGGGAAAAGGGGCAGCCGGAATTAGAACCGGTGCCCATATGAGATGCAGGCAGAGGATTAACCTACTGTGCCACAGCGCCAGCCCATTGCCACATAGTTAATTTAGCTATCTGAAACACTCAATGTCCTGATAAAGGAGAGTATTCCTTGATAAATCTGGGAGGAGGACTGTGGTTGCGAAGTGAGAAGGATATGAGAAGATTCCTCTTCTGGAGGCCACGCTGTTGGGAACGGCCTCTGCTATTTATTTGGGATGGCTTGCTGTGTACTACTGTGGGATTGAGCAATCGTACTTCCCAATTTGGAAGGATGGAGTTCTTTCTGGCAATGGCATACCCTTTACAGACTCGTAGGCACCTAGCCCAGTACCTTATGCTCAGTAACATGTGAGAGTCTCTGAAGGTCACTTTGCTTCCTTAGTTCGTCTGCTGAGTGGGCCAGTAGCCCTTGGCCTTGACTGAACACTATATCTATGCTTCTGCATCCCAGTGTTACTAAATGAGCTGCAGAGGCTGGGTGAGAGCAGATCTGTCCTGTGCTCCCAGGCTTTGCAGTGACTACTCCTTTCTCATAGGAGGAACATGGCTTTGGGGTAGGGGGTTCAGTAATGTCAGCCTTGTTCCTTTTCTCATTCAGGTCTTAGCCTTGGGGATGAGTTTTCTCCTTTTCCTTGTTTGCACTAAATCTAGTAAATAGAGGATTGAGTCTGAGAAGTATTGCCTTGTGCTCTAAACTAAGAAGCTTCTTTAAAAATTTTTATTTTGAATATTTATTTTACTTGAAAGTTAGTTACAGAGAGAAGGAGAAACAGAGAGAACTTCCACCTGCTGGTTCACTCCCCAGATGGCCACAATGGCCAGGGCTGGGCCAGGCTGAAGCCAGGAGCCTGGAGTTCCTTCTGGGCCTCCCATGTGGGTAGCAGGGGCCCATGAACTTGGGCCATTCTCTGCTGCTTTCTCAGGCCATTTGCAGGGAGCTGGACTGGAAGCGAAGAAGCCAGGACTCAAATTGGCACCCATATGGGATGTCAGCATTGCAGGCCATGGCTTTACTCTCCACGCTACAATGCTGCCCCCTCCCCCCTTTTTAAAGATGCATTTATTTGTTTGAAAGAGAGAATTAGATAGAGTGAGTGTGAGAGAGCGCACATGACTGTCCACTGGTTCCCTCTCCCAAATGGTCAAAATGGCCAGGGCTGGCCAGGCCCGGGACAGGAGCCTGGAACCCCATCTGGGTCTCCCATGTGGGTGGCAGGGTCTAAGCACTTGGGCCATCTTCTTCTGCTTTCCCAGGAACATTAGCGGGGAGCTGAGTCAGAGGAGGAGCAGCCAGGACTTGAACCTGCACCTGCATGGGATGCTGGTGTCACAGGCGGGGTTTAATCTGCTTCGTCACGACACGGGCCTCTTCTACTCCGTCTTGATGTCGTCACTGCCACAGTTAGGAGTCAAAATCTTAAAATACTCTACTGGGTTATTTGGAACTAAATAGTTTTGACAGAAATCCATCAGACTTGTTTAAAACCAGAAAGGAATTTTGTTGGCTCATATAATTGAGAAATCCAGAGCTGGTGACAACCTCAGATGTGTTGCTAGATCCAGGAAGGCAATTGAAGTTCTCCCAGTCTCCCTCTCAGGGCCCCCCTCATTGTTTCTTCTCTGTGATGGGTTTATTATTCCCTATTATTGACCGTTTTCTCCATGTTGCGAGAGTAAAAGTAGCCAACCCCTGATTTCTTAGCTTTCCTACTCAATGATACAAAAAAACCCAAAACCCATTCTGTGTCTCCAGATTCAAAAGATTGGAGTAGCTGTATACTCTGTAGTGGAGACACACTCTGTCTGACGAGCTCTGGATGCTGATCCTCACCCGCAGAGCAAGGTCCTTGATTTGCAGCATCATCTGATGACAGTGGAGGGAAAGCAAATTCCCAGAGCAGAGAAGGGCTTGGAGTTGGAACAGATGAAGGAGCAGACGGTTACCAGTTATCTTCACTCTTACAATTTTCTTCAAAACACGTCTCTGTTTTTCTTTACTTATTTAAAATGCCATCTTTATCATATATAGTATGGTAAATTCTGTCCTCATTTGCCAGTGTTGTGCAATTTTTTTCAAGCTTTAAATTAAAAGAGAAAAATCAGATCTTGTTCAACGGTCTGATCAATAGGACAGTGATAGCAGTAGTTTTATAGTGTGTGGAGATTTTCAGCAAAAGTGACGACATGGGTATATAGGGGAAATGGCCGCTGGACTGGTCAATCTATCACTTTAAAAAATTACGTTACTGTGAAAATGTGAAATTGTGAAAATTTTTTATTTAAGTAGTTGACTTTTGCATTAAAAAGCTTATGTAGATAAATACTAGATTCCGAAGGGGAGCATTCAGTCGGCATTTGTGTTTATAAAGTCAAAACTATTAGATAGTTTAAATGGAATATCAGTAGGAATCTTTCTAAAATTAATTATATCCTTTTTGTGCAGAAATCCTCACCGAATGTTTAAAACAACATCTCATTAGAATGTACTTATTATGTTTGTTACTTGTAAATCTGTAGCAGCCCTCCTGTTTTCTAATAGATAAGCTTTGAAATAACACAGTGCAGTAGAATTTTCTTTAAAATAGTAAATGACTCACACTGAAGTTCTGTTGTATTGTCTGTAAGTAAAGCATTTAAGAAGTAATGATCTTTCCTCTGGCTGTTCAAGGACTTTATCTGTTTGCTTTTTGGATCTTAGATATACATGAGATAATGAGTTTTGCATAAATAAGCTGTTGTTGTAATTACTTACTGTCAGCAATTCCTTTGTGGCTTTTTCATTTGATAATAGGTGACTTCAAATTGGAGAAGTCTAACGGGGAGCTCAGTGAGTCTCCTGGAGCTGGAAGAGGAGCATCTGGCTCAACTCGCATCATCACCAGATTGCGGAACCCAGATAGCAAGCTTAGTCAGCTGAAGAGCCAGCAGGTGGCAGCCGCAGCTCATGAGGCAAATAAATTATTTAAGGAGGGCAAAGAGGTGTGTTCTTTCAGAAAAAAGTCTCTGGAACGTGAAATAATTTTAATTAGTTTGCCTTAAATTAGCACCAGGAAGTGTTGTTGTACTTTTAAATTGTATTTTTTCTCTTTCCAAAAGTAGTGGGTAACAATAAGAAAGGTGTGAGGCTTATAATCTCATAGCATAATTACTCAAACTTCTAAGCATGCCAAGAAGTGTTATAAATGAGTGTGTACCTACTTCTTTTTAAAATACTTACGTGTTTTCTTGTACTTGGACGGCAGAGTGACAGACAGCCAGACAGAGATAGAGAGAGATCTTCCATCCATGGTTCACTCTCCAAATGTCTGCGACAGTCAGGGTTGGGACAGGCTGAAGTCAGGAACCTGAAATTCCACCCAGATCTCCAGGGCTCCAGTCACCTGGGCTATTCTGTTGCCTCCCAGGATGCATTAGCAAGAAGTTGGACTGGAAGCAGAGCAGTGGGGACTTGAATCAGTGGTCTGATAAGGGATGCAGGTGTCCCAAGTGGTGGCTTAACCCACTGTGCTCAATACCCACCTATGGCATATACCTTCTTAACACTGTTTTCACATGTGGTAAAGAGTAAGCTGTTTGTGGGTTTTATTGGAGCTGTAGATGATTTACTGATCAGTTCTAGCTATGATCACACTGGGTGAATCAGCAGCTAAAGGATAGCAGAGTACAGCATCCCTGCTCTGATGGTGAGAATGGAATCAAAACCAGTACTCATCTCCTGCTGGCCATGATGACATGTCATTGTCTGCAGCGGTCTCCCAGACGTGGGGATTATTGCAGGGTAGATCACATAAGAATATACACTGTATTTTTCTTTTTAAAAAAGTATGTTTTTATTTATTTGAAAGAGTGACAGAGTGAGCGGTAGATATGGAGAGAGAGAGATATCTTTCATCTGCTGGTTGACTTGCCAAATGCCTGTAACAGCTGAGGCTGGGTCTGGCCGAAGCCAGGAGCCAGGAACACCAGCTGGGTCTGCCACATGGGTAGCAAGGGCCCAAGTTCTTGGGTCATCATCTGCCTCTCAGACTTGCTGGCTGGAAGCTGGATCAGAAATGGAGATAGGACTTGATCCCAGGTTCTCTGGTAGGGATTACGTGCATCCCAAGCAGTGGCTTGGCTCACTGCACCGCAACATCACTTACTACAGTGTGCTTTTCCTAACAGTAGCCAGTCAGTTGCTTTAAAGCAGTGGTTTTCCTGGGAAGAAATTTTCCTAATTTACACTCAGCAAACCGTTTTTCCTGGAGGAGAGAAACGGCGGGAACGAACTGGACCCTTCCCTCAGAAGCCCCAGCCAGTCTAAACAGAGGCCGCGTGCTCAGCTCTCTCAGCTGTCCGCCGAGGCGCCTGCCTGGCCCTAACCATGTAACCTCGCTTTCCTCCAGTCTGAGTGACTGGGCAGTCATACTCTGTTTGTCCCTTCCGTCCTGATGGATGCCTTGTCCTCAACTAAAACCTGGCTACCTTGGCCCCCTCCCCACCAAAAAAAGGGGGGGGGGAATAGTTTCAACCTTTTTTTTGGCTCCGACCCTTGTTAAGATGCACATTTTTTTTTTCATAGCAACCCAGTTCATATATTTAAAAGCTTCCTCAAATAGTATTTTGGCTTCATTATGTGGGAAGCATTTTGGTATTTTCTAGTCCAACACATTGGTTTTTTTAAAGCTGAGTAAGACCCCGCTGTTGATTTCATAGTCACTCAAAGGTTGGGATTGCTGTTTGAAAACATGATTTTAAAGAATCCATGGACTTCTGTACTAAACCTGGGAGATAAAAGTAACAGGAAAGAAAAAAGGTATTTTGGGGAAATAGTGCATGTAATGCCTCCTAATTCCCTGTGTTATGTTTCAAATGTCATAGAGTTAAAGGTGAATAATTCTACACATGGAGTTCTGTTTGTAATTTTGAGGCTCATGAAAGTACTTAGTAACTAATATATAATAGGTGCTTGGTTTTAATTATTTTTAATCATCTTGTTTATTTGTAAGCAGTAACTTACTTGGAATTATTACTTACAAATATGGAAAGACAGTTGATCAGGCAGAATTTACATCTTTGGCTTGAATAATGGAGTCATTTTATTTTCCTGGTCAGGTACTTGTAGTTAACTCTCAAGGAGAAATTTCTCGGTTGAGCACCAAAAAAGAAGTGGTCATGAAAGGAAATATCAACAATTATTTTAAACTGGGTCAAGAAGGGAAGTATCGCGTCTACCACAATCAGTACTCCACCAATTCGTTTGCTTTGAATAAACACCAGCACAGAGAAGATCATGACAAGAGAAGGCATCTTGCACATAAGTTCTGTCTGACTCCAGCAGGAGAGTTCAAGTGGAATGGCTCTGTCCATGGGTCCAAAGTCCTCACCATATCTACCCTGAGATTGACTATCACCCAGTTAGAAAACAACATCCCTTCTTCCTTTCTTCACCCCAACTGGGCTTCACACAGGTAAAGCAAACTATGTTAATTTACTGCTAGAAGTATTCTAACTATTTATAAAATTATTGTGGGTGTCCACTTTAAAATGTCACTACCAATAAAATAAGTGAACTCAGTTCAGTCAGCAAACAGGGAGGAAGCCAGGAGCTTGAGTATACTATTAAGTTAGAGGCAGCACTACTGTGTGGAAGATTTTCAGGACACAGTCTTTTTTCCTGAAGTCAAGTGGAGACCATATAGAGTCCCAGAATACTGTTGAAAGGTTTAAGGAGTTGGAAAACTAAGTGTCCCCTGGAATCCCATGTGGCAGTTGAAATCTGATTCTGTGAGAATGAAACCTCCAGTAGATACTTGTTTCTGAGAAACCTAGAAACACAAATAATTAGTTGAGTCATCATGAATTATACCTGTGATGCTTTCAATTTAAGATCATCCAAATGAAATAATTTTTTTCTTTTCTTCTGAAATATAGGGCAAATTGGATCAAGGCAGTTCAGATGTGTAGCAAACCCAGAGAGTTTGCACTGGCATTAGCCATTTTGGAGTGTGCAGTTAAACCTGTTGTAATGCTACCAATATGGCGGGAGTCTTTAGGGCATACCAGGTGAGTGAGTTCTGAGGCTTGCGAATGATGAATTGTGGGCTTGGTCTTTTCAAATACTAGCCGGTCAGTTATGAAGGTTGATGTGTATAAGAGACCCTGTGAGACTTCCTTCTTCGTGTGTCCTAGCCCTCCTTTGTAAGATGTAAATGTGAGTGAACGTTACATCTTATCTCTGACACATAAATGAAGATCAGAAACAAAGCCATATGAAAATTAAAAGTACTTTATAAAGTAAAAAGCATTGTATTGAATTGGAAGCACACTCACGGTCTTTGAGTGTGTGTTCTAGAATAGTTCTAGAATATTTCAGATGCGGTGCCAGTGGTGTAACTTACGTCCTCTTTTTAGGGTTGAGTGTCTGTCTGAGGGTCATTCAGCTGCTTAGATCCAGAACTTGACTTAAGCAGATGATAAAAAAAGATAAAATCCGCAACAAATCTATTTTTAATCCCTGATTATTTTATTAGTATATAAAATAAAAAGTTATTATGGGACAGGTTGTTGTGGTGCAGTTAGCTATGCCTCGACTTGGGACACTTGCAAATGTATCAGGGTCTCAGCTACTCCATGCTTCTGCTCCCACCCTGCGAATGTACCTGAGAAGCAGCAGATGATGTCTTAAGTACTTGCTTTCCTGCCACCCATGCAGAAGGCCCAGATGGGCTTCCTGGCTTCTGTCTTTGGCTTGACCCAGCACTGGCTTTTGTGGGTATTTAGGGAATGAACCAGCACATGGAAGACCTCCCTTCTCTCTCTCTCTCACTCTGCTTTTGAAATAAATAGATCTTTTTTAAAAAATAAAAAGTTGTTATAAAGCTAAGGAGTATGAGCCTATGGTAAAAAAATATTTGGGGTTGGCAGTGTGGCATGGTGGGTAAAGCTGCCACCTGTGACACCGGCATCCCATATGAGCGCTGGTTCAAGTCCAGCTGCTCCACTTCTGATCTAGCTCTCTGCTATGGCCTGAGAAAGCAGTGGAGGAAGGTCCCAGTCCTTGGGCCCCTGTACCCACCTGGGAGACTTCCCTGGCTGTTGTGGCTATATGGGGAGTGAACCAACAGATGGAAGATCTCTGTCTTTCCTCCTCTCTCTCTCTAACTCTTAACTTTCAAATAAATAAGTAAAAATATTTTTTTAAAAAAATGCAGCTACTCAAGAATATAAAGCAAATCATTGTACCCTCCCTGCCTTCCTACAGGGCCCAAATCACAAGATAACCTTGTAATTTTTAAAATGTAAATGTATTTTGTGCTGCTTTGTGCATGTTTTACTTTACAATAAAAATATTTTTAAGCAAAGTAAATCTAGGGATAGGCATTGTGATACAACAGGTTAAGCCACCACTTGAGATGCCCATTTCCCATACTGGAGTACCTGGGGTCAAGTTCCACCTCTGTTTCCTATCCAGCTTCCTGCTCATGTACCTAGAAGGCAACACATGATGGCCCAAGTACTTGCATTGCCTCCACCAACAGGGGAGACCCAGATGGAGCTCCTGCTCCTGGCATCAGCCTGGCCCAGCCCTGCCTGTTGCAGCACTTGTGGAGTGGGAAATCTCTCTCTGTGTCTCTGTCATTCTTTCTTTTAAATGAATAAATATTTTCTAAGAAGAAAAAGTAAATTTATTCCTACTAACCAGTTTTCTTTTACTTGTCTTCTTTGCTGTTTTCCACACAAAAATCTTGTTGACTTTTTTTCTTGCCATTTTGAATATTATTACTATCAGTAGAAGCTTCCACAAATGGAATGGACTTCTTCAAAAAAAGAAAGAAAGAATAAAGTTGGGGCTGGCATTTGAACTAGTGATTAAGACTCCATTTGGCACTTGGGACATCTGCATACAGTATCAGAGTGCCTGGGTTTGAGTCCAAGCTCCACTTTTTTTTTTTTTTTTTTAAGATTTATTTATTTATTTATTTGAAAGAGTTACACAGAGGAGAGGCAGAGAGAGAGAAAGAGGTCTTCCATCCAATGGTTCACTCCCCAGTTGACCACAACGGCCGGAGCTGCACTGATTTGAAGCCAGGAGCCAGGAGCTTCTTCCTGGTCTCCCATGCTGGGATGGCCTTGGGCCATCTTCTACTGCTTTCCCAGGCCACAGCAGAGAGCTGGATGGGAAATGGACAGATGGGTCTTGAACTGGCGCCCATAAGGGATGCTGGCGCTTCAGGCCAGGGTGTTAACCTGCTGCGCCACAGGGCTGGCCCCCTGAACTCCACTTTTAATTCCAGAGTCCGGCTAACATGCACCTTGGGAGGCAGATGACTCAAGTAGTGGGGTACCTGTCACCCACATGAGAGACTTGAATTGAGTTCCAGGCTTCTGACTTGGGCCTGGCCCCACCTTGGCTGTTGTGAGCTGTGGACTTTTTTTTTTTTTTTTAATGTTTATTTTATTTATTTGAAAGGCAGAGTTACAGAGAGAGGGAGATATGTGAAGAGAGATTTCCCATCCACTGATTTACTCCCCAAATGACCACAACAGCCAGGGCTGGGCCAGGCTGAAGTCAGAAGCCAGGAATTTCATTTGGGTCTCCCTTATTGGTGCAGGGGCCCAAGGACTTGGACCATCTTACACTGCTTTCCCAGGTACTTTAGCAAGGAGCTGGATCAGAAATGGAGCATATGGGACTTGAACCGGCGCCCATATGGGATGCAGGCATTGCAGGCGGCAGTTTAGCTCATTAAGCCGCAATGCCGGCCCCAGGCTGTGGACATTTGTCGAGTGAACCATCGGATGGGAGGGGTGTGTGTGGTATGTCTCCAAGTAAAATGAAAATTAATAATTAAAAAATAATCTGTAATAATATTCTGGTACAGATGCAAAGAGAAACAAATAGACCAGTGTTAGAGAATAAGGATTCCAGAGCTGTGATATGTGACAACAGTGGCATCACAGAGGACAAGCTATTCAATAAAAGGCAAAGGGTCGTTAGTTACTCATTGTGTGGGAAGTTGTGCTGCCTTTTTCACAGCCCATAAAAATGTCAATTCAATGTAGAATAAATCCTAAATGTGAAAAAACAGAACTTTAAAATTCCAAATTGCTGGGCAGGTGTTTGGCCTAGGTAGCACTGGTGGTTGGAACGGCCACATCTTGTATGGGAGTTTCTGGGTTCAAATTCCAACTCTATTCCTGATTCCAGCTTCTTGCCAGTGCACATTCCGGAAGGTAGCAGGTGATGGCTCAAGTGCTTGGGTCCTTGCTACTCCTGTGGGATACCCAAATTTAGTTTCTGGCTGTTCGCTTCAGCCCATCCCCAGGTGTTGCAGGCATTTGGACAGTGAACCAGTGCATGGATTATCTCTTTCTGTCTCTCCAAGTAGAAGCTACAGGGTAAATACAGGGAGTAATCTAAGGCTCTGGATTGAAGTTCCCTCCTTCCCTCCCTCCCTCCCTCCCTTTTCTACTCCCTCCCTCCCTCCCTTCTCTACTCCCTCACTCCCCCCCTCCCTTCTCTACTCCCTCTTTCCCTCCCTCCCTCCTTCCTCTTCTCCCTCCCTCCCTTCCTCCTTTCCCCGACCCTTTGCCTGTTACTTCCTTGCCTTTCGTCCCTGGTGTCCCCCTCCTCCTTCCATACTTCTCACCTTTTCTCTCTCTCTTGATTGTTTCCTTTCCTTCCTGATGCGTACAGTATGTCCTGGGAGGTGCGTAAGGCAGGCAGCGTGTCTCCCACTGATTAGCACGTGGCAGTCTCATGTGGGTGTACGTGGGCTGCGCCTATATGGGTGACTTCCTTTTTCATGTTAAACAAGTTGTACATTCGTAAAATTGTGTGTAGTATGTAAGCGGCAGTGGGGATAATAAATTTAGCGCCTGTGAATTTACTACCCAACTTCAGCGTGAAGAACTTTACCGTTATTTTGGCGGGTTTTTACTCACGTTACCATGAATCTTCCATGAGATAACCACAATTTTTAAGTTTCTGTTATGCTGTTCTTTTTGCTGTGTAAGTTTCATCACATATGTATCAGTAAACAGTAGATTGGTTTCTATTATTTTTGAACCTTATAATGATGAGTCATCATAAAAGACTGAATCATGAACTGGATGAAGGTATTTTTATTGGTTTTTATACTATTATCCGAAGGATTAATATCCACAAAATACTTAAGAGCGCCTACAGTTTTATATAAGGCAAAAAATAAAGCCATTTATTAGACAGACAAAAGATATGAACATAGCTCAAATAAGAGGTAATAGAAATAGCCAAGCCGGTGCCGCGGCTCACTAGGCTAATCCTCCACCTTGCGGCGCCGGCACACCGGGTTCTAGTCCCGGTCGGGGCGCCGGATTCTGTCCCGGTTGCCCCTCTTCCAGGCCAGCTCTCTGCTGTGGCCCGAGAGTGCAGTGGAGGATGGCCCAGGTGCTTGGGCCCTGCACCCCATGGGAGACCAGGAGAAGCACCTGGCTCCTGCCATTGGATCAGCGCAGTGTGCCGGGCGCGGCAGCCATTGGAGGGTGAACCAATGGCAAAGGAAGACCTTTCTCTCTGTCTCTCTCTCTCACTGTCCACTCTGCCTGTCCAAAAAAAAAAAAAAAAAAAAGCCTAAAAGATTTCAGTTTTCCTTGGAACTTAGGAAAAGCATGTTAAAGCCAGGGTCCATTGTTCCATATCCATCGGGTTGTCAGACTGAGTATTGAGAAAGATGTCTCCTAACAGGAGGAGGACTCTGCCAATTTCTTATCACAGAGCAATTGTGTAATGGTTGTTGTAACTAAGAGAACAGTTTGGTAAAGTTAAAAATGCAATTCTACTCTTACCTAATACCATGAAGAAACTCTTTCATGTATATATAAGAAAACATATAGAAGAATGCTCTTTATAATATTCCGTAGTAGAAACATTGGGAATCCATCCCTAACTGTCCATAATTAGATGGGTTTTAATTGCAATATTACCCTATACAGCAATGAAAGTCAAACGAGAAGAACAAGTGTCAGTGAGATTGAATCTGATGAATGTACGTACAATAGAGTAAAAATGATTCATCACTCAA